AAAAAAAGAATAAGAGGAGCCGGTGAGTGAGCCCATGGGGACCAGAGGCATGAGTTAGCCCTCGAAGACAGCTACAGTCTCTGTCCTTGTGATTTGGGAGAAGAGTTGAGAGGAGAAGGGAGGACTTGAGAGCAACCTGCCTGAACACAGGGTGGGATTTGGGTAGGAAGAGGTGGGAGAAGGCATTTCTGGTGAAAGGAAGGCTTTGAACAAAGGTTGGAGGCAGACAGAAGCCCAGACGCTCTGGAACCGCAAGGAGATGGTAGGTGGGTTCGTGTTGGGATAAAAGGTCATGGTAGTGGATTGGGGTCAGGCCCTGGAAAGCCTAGAGGCAAGGCCATGGAGGCTGGACTGTCCCCAAAGCCATGGCTGCAGGGAAAGTTTCCGACGTGATTTATTTATGATGAGCAAAGAGCCCGTGGATGCTGAGAGGAGGTGTCACCATACTGGGAGTCAGTGGCCCCACCTGGGTAGGGATGGGCTGCTTTCCATCTCTCAGGCTCTAGCCTTTAGCCTCCAGGTGGGATTCTCAGCATGCAGATTCTGCCACTGTCCGCAACTCCCAGAGAGCTTTCTGGGTTGGTTTGTTCGTTTTTAGACGGAGTCTGGCTCTTTGCCCAGCCTGGAATATAGTGACCTGATCTTGGTTCACTGCAACCTCCGCCTCCTGAGTTCAAGTGATTCTCCTGCCTCAGCCTCCAGAGTAGCTGGGATTACAGGTATGTATCACTACATCTAGATAATTTTTGTAGTTTTAGGAGAGATGGTTTTTGCCATGTTGGCCAGGCTGGTCTTGAACTCCTGGCATCAGGTGGTCCACCCGCCTCGGCCTCCCAAAGTGCTGGGATTACAGGTGTAAGCCACCTTGCCCAGCCCCAAGAGAGCTTTTTGATGGGATATTCTATCCCCCTCTAAGCCCTAGTCAGATGCCCCCACCCCCAGGAAGCCCCCATTCTTGATTTGCATCTATCCCGTAGCAGGAAGGTGATACAGCCTAGTGGCCACAGGCAGGGGCTGGGGCTGGGGGGTTCAGGCAGGCTGGTTTCAGTTCTCTGCTTTGCCAATCACCAGATCTTGGGCTAGCCATTTAACCTTTGTGAGTCTATTTCATCGTCTGTAAAGTGGGTCTAAAGTTACCCATCTCCTGGGGTCTGCAAGGTGGTTAATGCATTGCCTTCCACTCAAAAATAGAAATTGCACGTGAAAGCAGGCTTATTTATCCTTAGCTACTCCACATTTCCTTTATTCTTAGGCACACATTTTTTTTTTGTGAAATCGAGATTCAATGTACAATCAGTGGACAAGAAGTTTAATTAAATTGCTGGTGTGGGTTGCCATTCATGGTGTCTTGGGCTGGAAGAACGTGGTCCAGGTGTGTACTCGTGTTATCACCTCCACTTTCTGGTTTGCATTGGCTGGACCTGCTGGACTGGAAGCACTTCACAGGCAGGGAAGGCAGGGAGGGCATCTTGTCTGTGTCCTCCAAGCACCCAGCAAAGGGCCTTTAGTGTTTGCTGGGCTGTATTCTGGCAGGGACTTGCCCAGTTATACAAGGAAGCGGGGCCAGGAAAAACACCCCTGCACTTGATTCCATCTTGTAGGCTTCAGGATGTCGACTGGAGTTCTCTGGCTGTCCCACCTCTCCCAGGCCAGGACCCTAGCATCCCTGCTGTGAGCCCTGGGCAAGTCTGGCTCTTCTCTGAGTTGTCATTTGGAGGGGACACTGGGTGGCACAGAATGTGGCTCTGACACTCCTGGGGGCTCTGCCAGTGGCTTCCCAAGTGCAGTCCCAAGGTGGACACATGATTTCAGGAGGACTGTGGGTCCCTGAAGCTTCAGGTTACAGGACCTGAGGGTGGAGTGGCCAGGGATGGCAAGGTGCTTTAGTCCTATACATGTAGATTTTTAGCTTGGTAGCTATTTACCCTGATCTGGGTGCATGCTTGCCAGCTGCCCACAGGTGGGGTGGGGGTAGGGTATCTGGAAAGTCCTGGAGTTAAGCATAGATGCTAGAAGCCCTATACCCTGTGCCCCGCCCAAATCTCATCTTGAATTGTAGCTCCCACAATTCCCTCGGGTTGTGGGAGGGAGCTAGTGGAAGATAATTGAATCACAGGGGTGCTTCCCCCATACTGTTCTCGAGGTAGTGAAGTCTCACGAGATCTGATGGTTTTATAAGGGGGATCCCTCTTGCTTGGCTCTCATTCTTTCCTGCTGCCGCCATGTAAGAAGTGTCTTTCACCTTCCACCATGATTCTGAGGCCTCCCCAGCCACGTGGAACTGTGAGTCCATTAAACCTCTTTCTCTTCGCAGTCTCAGTTATATCTTTATCAGCAGCATGAAAACAGACTAATACACCCCCTTCCCATGCTGGAGATGCTCTTCCTTAGCGCCCCGGATGGGGTTATTTCAGACCAGGAGTCCCCACATTGTCCCCGGGACATCATACCTTCCTTTCATAGGAGTGGCTTGGAATGGACGGTTGGTGGGCAGACGAGGGCTAGTCCTGAAGCTTAATGAATAGAGTAGAAGACTTTTTGCTTAGATGATATGTTTATTGGTAGTGCCTTGGGGAACAGGGAACTTTCTTCTCTGAGTGACCTCATACATTTCATGCAAGCTTAAATTCTACATTTTGTTGCTTCACAGGAATCATGGCCATAGGCCAGGCCAGCTGCCCTTGCTCCAGCCTGCCCTGACACCTTCAGAGGGATCCTAGGCACAGGAAAGCCCCTCCCCGTGCACACCAGTATAACAAGAGCTTCAAAAAGGCACCTAAAAATAGCTTTCTAGCCCCCTCCCTCCCTCCTTAGGGCTCAAATACAGGATCTGAAGTGATGTGGGGCTGCAGGCACAGGGGCAGGAACACATCTCTTGCTCTTGCACCTCAATTCTGGCTGGGTCTTGGGACTTACACCCTGAATCTCCAGGGTCACCAAACATTCTTCTCCAGCCCCCCACCACCGGTCCTCCAGAAGCTGGCACAGGGCAGCTAAGGGTAAGATACTGTCATCCTATGGTCCTGACCCTCTCCCAGTCTCTGCAACACACATACACACGCACACACACAATTGCAGGTCTCTCTAAGGGAGCATTAGGTTTATTTCTAGTTAGGCTGAATTACTGGGGAGATGGCTGGTGCCACCATAAGTCCTTGGTCCGGCCAAGGGACCTGAGGTGGCATAGTCTGGCAGCCTCCTTTCCAGAGATTAATGCCAGGGGGTCAGGTAGTTGACACGACTGTGAAGAGAAGTAGGGGTGAGGTGGGGACTTCCAGGGTGTCCTGGGGAAAAACCAGGCTTTCCCCCTCTAGGCTCTGAAAACACAGCTTCCAGCCAGCCTCAATGTGGCTCAGGAGCCTTCAATAGCTCCCTGTTTTCTGCATTTTCAGCTGTCCTCCTTAGCTTTCAAGCTAACGCCCCTCCTTTGAGTTTGCCTCATCCCTCTCTCCCACTGATTCCTAACTATGAACAGCTTCACCCATTTTTCAATCATTTAATGAACCTACTCTGTTAGGCATCATATGGTAGCAAAACCCAGAAACGTTCCCCCTCCCCGCCGTGGGAGAGGGGAAGTCTAGTTTCTGTCAATAATGACAGTGCAATAGTCTGGATGCTATAAGATGGGTGACACACAGGTGGTGACCAGTGGGAGGGAATGTGAGCTGGTGGGGAGAGGCAGAGGGACAGCAAAACTTCAAGGAGGATAGCACATCTGTGCTGGGCTTTAAAGAGCACAAAGGAGGCCGGGCGCAGCGGCTTACACCTGTAATCCCAGCACTTTGGGAAGCTGAGGCAGGGGGATCACAAGGTCAGGAGTTCGAGACCAGCCTGACCAACATGATGAATCCCTGTCTCTACTAAAAATACAAAAATTAGCTGAGTGTGGAGATGCATGCCTGTAATCCCAGCTGCTCAGGAAGCTGAGTCGGGAGAATCGCTTGAACCTGGGAGGCAGAGGTTGCAGTGAGCCGAGATCCCACGAACCATTGCACTCCAGCCTGGGCGACAGAACGAGACTCTATCTCAAAAAAACAAAACAAAACAAAACAACAACAAAACACGAAGGAGTTTTGCAGGCAGAGGAGGAAGGGCCATCTAGGCGCTAAAACTGCACAGGCAAAGGTGTGAGGATTGCTTGGTGGTCTGCTGGATTTCGGCGGAGTCTAGTCTTGCCGGAGTGTACAAACTGGGGCTGGGAAGGTGAGACATGGCTCAGTTATGAAAATGTTTGCATATCTTGCAACCTCCATTCTTGTTCTTATCTCCAAGCTTTTACTAGTGGGGCGACCCTGCTGGGAACACCACTTGGCCCCTCCCCTTAGAGCCTCTCAGCACTCCAGGAGGCAGATTCTTGCCTCTCTCCCTGGCGTTTCTTTTTTGTCTGTTTTCTCTCCTTCATGTAACATCACTGCCTCATCCTTTTGGCCTCCTCCGGTCAAACCTGGTGAAATGGACCCCCTCCCGCACCTACCCCCACCCCAGTGGGCTGCATATTTGCCAGGAGCGGATCTCGCCAGAGCGAAGCAGCTCGCACTCTCCCAGGAGGGCACCTCCTCCACGCCAGGCCTCGCCGGGGCAGGGGAGTCTGAGAGTCGCGGAGCCCCGAGGCTGCCCCCCCGCATTGGTCAGATGGGAAGGTGGTCGGCTGTGGCGCGGGACAAGGCCAGTTCCCCTACCTGTAGCTGGAGCCGAAGCTTCGAAAAGTGTTCCTGGGGAAGAACGGGGGAGGGGGGGAGGTGAGCCGGAGGGTGGGGGACGATCCTCTCTGGGCACCTCACTCGCACCTCGGGAGCCACCCCCTCTCCCTGCCATCCCTCCTGAAGGGTTCCAGGGCGCCTTTACCCAACCCAAATGCCTCCACTCCGAAAGGGTGGAGTTGCCAGGGATAGCAAGATACTCTGTGTAGTAGGAATTACACATGTATTCATTTTGAAATTGCAATTTGTTTGTAGTATATTAGAGCCAATCAATCAATTTTTCCCAGATCTCACGTTTTCAAGGGCCACTGCCTGTGCGCTAGGAAAGCGGCCCAGACCCCATCCTCCCTCCTCCGGATGTGGGTCCCGGGGTGCGTGGCGTCACTTACAGGGAGTCGAAAGGCAGGGGCTTCTGTCCGTAGCGGTCCAGGCTGGGGTTCTGGTTGAGGCAGTACTGCGGCGGGCAGCAGGGATGGGGGCGCGGTGAGTCGGGGAGTGAGTCGGGGGAGCACGGACGCCCCGCCCACGCCCCACGCAGTGCTCCCTGCTTGAGACCGTGGTCCTCAAGACTGAGAGGCCCTGCTCTGGGTCTCCTCCCTCCCCAACTCCCGGTTTACGCCGCTCCCCCCAAGAACCCCCCCAGGGACGGGTCTGCGTGCAGCGCTCCCTACCCGCCAGCTCTGGGTCACGTCCGGCTTCAAGTACCGCACCGCGTAGCCGCTGAAACCCTCCACTGAGGACAGAGAGCCTCTCTCGAGCGCCCCGCCCTCCCCAGGACCGCCCCAGGAAAGCCCCGCCCCTCACATAAGCCCCGCCCACCCGCGTTCGGAGAACAGGCCCCGCCTCCGCTGTCCCTCTAGGGCAAAGTCCCCGCCTTGACTGCTCCGCCTGGCCCGGTCCCTACGGGAAGCCCCGCCTCCAGGTCCGCGCGCACGACTCTGACCCACCCGCCGCAAGTGCCACCGCTGCACCCTAGCGGCCCCGCCCTGTCTCTTCTGCCCCTCTCGCCCCCCACGCTCCTGCCCGCAGTCCAGGCTCTCTGTCCAGTCCCGCGGCCCACCTGCCCGGCAGTTCCTTCAGCCGCCCGTAGACTGACCTCTCTTGCTCAGGCAGGGCAGCTTGAACTCCTTGGCCGAGGACACAAAGCGGGACCAGTCCTCTATGGCGCGAGTGAAGCAGGGCCAGTCCACTCGGTTGATGCCCGGCGCGACGGGCGCCAGCTTTCCCTCCTGGTACCTGTGGCGCAGCTTCTGGCCTGTCGCAGTGATGTCCTGCCAGGTCCACGGGGATCAGGGTCGCGCAGCCGTAGCTGCAGGAACCTAAGGCAGCCATCCCAGTCCACCCCAAAGACCTAAGCTGACAACTGGGCTGGGGCATCTGACAGAGGGGGCACCCGAAGTCAAGAACCCGGATGGGGTGATGTGGGGAGGTGAGTCCCAAGCAGGCACCTGAGGCGGTGCTGGGCGAGTAGATCCCAGGACCAGAGGTGCTTGAGGTTGGTGCCCCTTAGCAAACCCAGGGGTAGGGCAAAGGACACTCACCAAGCACTGCAGGGATTTGTTGGGGATCCCAAGGAGGGTAAAATGGGTGTTGTCAAACTCATCTGTTGAAACAAGAGAAAGGGAGAAGTATCTCCTTCACCAGTGGTCAGAGGTCATAGGAGAACTTTGGCCCACACTGTACTTTAAAAAATTTTTTGAGGCCAGGCACGATGGTTCACTCCTGTAATCCCAGCACTTTGGGAGGCAGAGGTGGGTGGATCACTTGAGGTCAGGAGTTCGAGACCAGCCTGACCAACATAATGAAACTCTGTCTCTACTGAAAGTACAAAAATTAGCCAGGCCTGGTGGCATGTACCTGTAACCCCAGCTACCTGGGAAGCTGAGGCAGGAGGCTCACTTGAGTCCAGGAGGTTGAGGCTTCAGTGATCATGCCACTGCACTTCTACCTGGGTGACAGAGCAAAATCCTGTTACAGTGAGCCAAGGTCATGTCACTCTACTCCAGCCTGGGCAACAGAGCAAGACTCTGTCTCAAAAGAAAAAAAAAAAGAGGGAGACAGAGGTCACAAGACTAAGAGAACAGACTCCTTGTGGCAGTAAGATACCAAATTATTAACAAGACCTAAGACCATGCCAGGCAAGGGTTAAGCCCGATCTCGGTTCACTATAACCTCCGCCTCCTGGGTACAAGCAATTCTCCTGCCTCAGCCTTGCGAGTAGCTGGTATTACAGGTACCTGCTACCCTACCCGGCTAATTTTTGTATTTTTAGTAAAGATGGGGGTTTCACCATGTTGGCCAGGCTGTTCTCGAACTCCTGACCTCAAGTGATCTGCCTGCCTTGGCCTCCTAAAGTGCTGGGATTACAGGCGTGAGCCACCATGCCCTGCCTAAATTTAGAAATTTCTAATTTTTCAGTTAACATTAATAGAAAGTTGGAGAACAAAATAACATGTGTTTGTATTCCCATTAGTAAGTCAGACACTAAGAATGGTGGGGGATTACCCGTAATGGAGGCAGTGGGAGCGAGACTTGCTGCTGTGCGTATTGTTACAGCATTTTGAGTTTTGAAGTTGCCACTATTACTTTTATTTAAAGCATATGCTTACAATAAAATACATATCTACCTCAGAGCTTCCCTTAAAAATCTAGATTCCTGGCTTCTCTTGGAAGCAGGAAATTGGAAGAACTGGTGACCTGGCTGGACCCTCCAACATAGCACAGTCTGTGCGGAGCCCTGTAGCTGCCGTTTAAACAGGGCAGGTGTGGGTGCCCCATTTCCCTGTGGATTCTCCCCTCCCATGGCCTCCCCACCCACTTCTCTCATTTGCGTTTCCCATCAGGGCCCATATAGCAACTCTGGTGATCTCCATGTGGTTTCTGACATCCTCAGCCTGCCTGTCACCGAAGCTGGAGCCTAGGTATGGGCCTGCACCCTCCCTCTTCCGCCTCCCACCTCGCCCTGCCTGCACCTTCTCCTGTTCACTTGATCTGCTAAATACCTTCTAAATCCCTCCACACACAAGCTCCTCAGTCCATGCGGCGTTATTCACTAGGCCTGTGGGGGTCTTTTGCCCTGAAGGCCCACACGGCCTCCTCTCCTGCAGGGGGGCTGTGAGGAGGGGTCTTTTTCTCTCTTTTCCACATGCAGAGAGGCTTGGGGAGAAGTTGTTATTGCTGTGACTCCTACCACTGCACCTACCAGCCTCTGCCCAGTTCTCTCCCCATTCATTACAACAGACTAGGCACAGCAGCTCACGCCTGTAATCTTAGCACTTTGGGAGGCCAAGACAGGAGGATCGTTTGAGCCCAGGAGTTTGAGACCAGGTTGGGCAACATAGGGAGACCCTGTCTCTACAAATAATTTAAAAAAATTAGCTGGGCATGGTGGCACGTGCCTGTGGTCCCAGCTACTTAGGAGGCTAAGGTGGGAGGATCATTTGGGCCTGGGAGGTCAAGGCTGCAGTGAGCCATGATCATGCCACTGCACTCCAGCCTGGGCAACAGAGCAAGACACTGTCTCCCCAAAACCAAAACAAAACAACAATAACAATAATGGCATCAGCAACATTTTTTGAGCAGATATTGTGTGCCAGGCACTACTTTTTTTTTTTTTTTTGAGATGGAGTCTCGTTGTTGCCAGGCTGGAGTGCAGTGGCGCAATCTCAGCTCACGGCAACCTCTGCCTCCTGGGTTCAAGTGATTCTTCTGCCTCAGTCTCCTGAGTAGCTGGGATTACAGGTACCTGCCACCACGCCTGGCTAATTTTTGTATTTTTAGTAGAGACGGGGTTTCACCATGTTGGCCAGGCTGTTCTTGAACTCCTGACCCCAGGTGATCTGCCCGCCTCAGCCTCCTGAAGTGCTGGGATTACAGGTGTGAGCCACTGCACCTGGCCTCTGAGTGCTTTTTGCACTTTATCTCCTAACCCCACAACAACCCTTCGAGGCAGGTCCTGTCATTCTCCTCATTTTACTGAGCAGTAAACAGAGGCTCAGACCTGGCCAAAGTGTCCTGGGCAGGGAGCAGAAGCGCTGGGACTGGCCTCTTTCATCCCTGCATGTCACCTTTCTTGAAACCACCTACCCCTTCCCCAAAGGGGATCCTGCGCCAGCAGCCTGACCTTTGCGGCAGTAGGTGGTAGACTGGCAGTGCTCATCAGGAAGGCAGGCCTTGGCAGTGTCCCTGTCCATGTGGCGCAGGGTGGGCAGGGCCGGGTGGTAGAGCTGCTGCTTCACGCCCGCCAGCTGGTTGCGCTGCCGCTCCACAGGAAGCAGGATGGCCGGGGAGGCATACACATGAGTGGAGCCATCGTCCCAGGGCACCAGGTCGATGATGCGGGCCATAGCTGGGAGGCAGAGGGTTCTAAGGAGCTCACCCTGGGCTCATGCTGGCCAGACACCCTTCTCTGCAGAAACACAACTTTGGCCAATGGCGATGTCTACTTGTGAAACATTTATTTAGCACCTACTTTGTGCCAGGCCGTCATTCAGAAGCTCAGCATGGGGTGGCAGGAACATTCAGATAACAGAGGACAACAGAGATAACCCTCCCAGTGCCCTCCCAACACACACACACACACACACACACACACACACACACACACACACACACACGTTGTGCCGTGGCTGTAAGGGAGGTCAGTACAGAGCGTTTGTGTTTTTCTGGGGAGGCTGGGGTTGGGGCATTCAAGAAGTGGTCTAAAAGGGGTGGTATTTTAGTCTATTCTTTTTTTTTTTTTTTTTTGAGACAGAGTCTCACTCTTTTGCTTAGGCTGATGTGCAGTGGCATAATCTTGGCTCACTGCAACCTCCGCCTCCCAGGTTGAAGTGATTCTCCTGACTCAGCCTCCCGAGGAACTGAGATTTCAGGCACCCACCACCACACCTGACTAGTTTTCGTATTTTTAGTAGAAACAGGGTTTCACTGTGTTGGCCAGGCTGGTCTTGAACTCCTGACCTCAAGTGATCCACCTGCCTCAGCCTCTCAAAGTGCTGGGATTACAGGTGTGAGCCACCACGCCTGGAGAGTCTATTCTTAAATAATGTGCGGGAAAGGGCAGAAGCAAGTGGGTTCAAAATGTAGCTCCGTATGCAGTATGCTTCTGGGTGAATAATTATGGGCATGCCTTAGCTAAGGTATTTGCCCAAAATTCTACGGATTGACTCAGAAAGATTTTTAGGAAGGGGAGCAACATGATATATTTGAACTAGAAAAGCATTACTGGATACCCAGTGCCTCCCTTTAAAAAGCAGATAGTCCCAGGAGCCTTTCAGCCATTTACACTTTAGTGAGAATTTCTCAAGGCAGCTTGCTTTCTTCCTGACCCTAAGTTAGAGGTGAGAGCTAGAGGTGGGAGCAAGGGTGGCAGGAGGAGAGAGGACCTTAGATCATGGAGGAGCAGGGAAGGGGCATGGTGACAAGGCAAGGGGAAGCTGCCTTAGGGGATGGGACTGCCTGGAGAGGGAAATGGAGAGGGCTCACTGAGACAGGGAAGAGACGGATGGGGGCTCCCTGCTTCTGACTCACCAATAGCAGCTACCTTATCTGTAGGGCCCAGGCCCAGGTACACAGGCTTATAAGGACTTTCAGCTCTTTGACTGCTCAATGGGCAGAAGAGGAAGTGAGGTGGGCGGGTCCCTTATTATGGACAGCAGCAGAATAAAGGAATATTGTGCACACACAATGCCCATTGCAGCCTGATTCTGAGTACCCACTCCTTAGCAACCCGGCAACTGCTGGCTCTAAGAAGAGCCTGTGCTAGAATTTCTGTGCTCTGGCCACTCCCTTCTAGCCTTCCTGAAGGCTGTGGTCTCCCAGGCCTCAGCACAGGCCAGGCATCTTGGGAAGTGTCAGACAGGGAGCAGGAGTTCTCTGGAGGTGGTCAGGCCAAGACAGGCCAGAAATGGCTGCCGAGTTCACTGCAGGCTGTGTGACCCTGGGCTAGTTACCACACCTCTCTGGGCCTCCAGGCTCTCCTCTGCGTTAGGCAGGGACTCTAGGGCCTGCCATTACGAGGATCTGGATGCCGAGAGGGATCTCCCCTTCCTGAAAACCTCAGGGAAGAGGGCACTGCACTGTCTGCCAGCCCTTGAGTCTCTAGGGGTGGAGATTAGCTGTGGCCAGTATCCAGGGTAAGCGTGAGGGGATCAGGGAGAGTGGTGGCCTCAGCAGGCCAGGGATTAGCAGATGATACTCCACCCTCAGCCCCTGCAGGACTGCGGGCTCCCCACTCCCAGGAAAGGCAGGCTGTGAGTACCCGAACCCAGCACACCTGATGCCTGCCCACCATCCTAGTCACAACCATTCAAGACAGACCCCCCAAGGGAGGAAAACTTAGGAGAGCCGCACTTATTTGTGTATACCTGCCCAGGGGCTGAGCCTGATGGGTCTTGGAGCCCCTCCTGTGAGATTCCTGTAGGATTCCTTTTCCCAGTTGCTCCTTCTCCAGGGCTCCCAGAACAGCATCCCTAAGTGCTGCCCCTTGTAGAAAACCTTCCCCAAGTTGATTCCACTCACGACCCCTCGCCCACAACTTGTTTCTTGACTTTTTTTCTTTTTTGAGACAGAGTCTCGCTTTGCCACCCAGGCTGCAGTGCAGTGGCACAACCTCCGCCTCCTGGGTTCAAGCAATTCTCCTGTCTCAGCCTCCTGAGTAGCTGGGATTACAGGCACATGCCAGCACACCTGGCTAATTTTTGTATTTTTAGTAGAGACGGGGTTTCAGCATGTTGGCCATGCTGGTCTTGAACTCCTGACCTTGTGATCCTCTCGCTTCAGCCTCCCGAAGTGCTGGGATTACAGGCATGAGCCACTGCACCCAGCCATTTCTTGACTCTTTTAAAGTTGTAAAATAGAAGAAGTACAGACAGTGCATAAATATATAATGTAACTAATAATTTACAAAATGAGACCCCATGAAACTACCACCCACCCTGGTCAAGACGTGGAGTACTACTTTTAAAACAGGTTAGCAGTTTCTTAAAAAACAAAGCAGAATTGTATCATATGATTGGGTCATATGGAAGATTCTACCCCAGGAGTCTTCCCAAGAGAAATAAAAGTATGTTGTGAGGTGCAGTGGCTCACACCTGTAATCCCAGCACTTTGGGAGGCTGAGGCAGGTGGATCATGAGGTTGGGAGTTTGAGACCAGCCTGGCCAACATGGTGAAACCCGTCTCTACTAAAAATACAAAAATTAGCCAGGCATGGTGGTGCAAGCCTGTAATCCCAGCTACTAGGGAGGCTGAGGCAGGAGAATCACTTGAACCTGGAAGGTGGAGGTTGCAGTGAGCCAGGATCACACTACTGCACTCCAGTCTGGGCGACAAGAGCAAGACTCCATCTCAAAAAAAAAAAAAAAAAAAAAAGAAATTAAAAAAAAGAAAAGAAAAAAAAGAAAGTATATGTCTACACAAAGACTTGCACACGAATGTTCATAGCAACATGATGTACGGCCAAAAACTGGAAACAACCCGTGTTCACTGATGAGTGGATGAGCTGTGGTGTGTCTATCCCCCGCAATACTCCTAGGCAATGAAAAGAAATGAAGTTCTCAGACATGCTATGAGGCAGATGAACCTCAAAAACGTTATGCTGAAGCCAGATGTGAAAACCTGCATACTCTATGACCCATTTATAAAACATGTCCAGGAAAGACAAATCTGTAGACACAGAAAGCAGATGTGTGGTTGCTGGGACTGGCATGGGTGAATGAACAGTGGTTATCATCTGGCACGTGGTCTTACTGGGGCAATGCTAATGTTCTAAAACCAGATGGTGGTGAGAGTTGCACAGTTGAGTCAATTTCCTATAAATCACTGAGTTAGGCCAGGACTGGTGGCTCATGCCTGTAATCCCAGCATGCTGGGAAGCCCAAGTGGGAGGGTTACTTGAGCCCATGAGTTCGAGACTAGCCTGGGAAACATGGCAAAACCCTGTCTCTACAAAAAAAATACAAAAATTAGCTGGGCGTGGTGGCGTGTGCTTGTGGCCGCAGCTACTTGGGAGGCTGGGGTGGGAGAGTCAATTCAGCCCAGGAGGTCGAGGCTGCAGTGAGCAGTGATCACACCACTGCGCTCCAGCCTGAGTGATAGATAGAGTGAGACCCTGTCTTAAATGATTAAATAAATAATAAGTAATAAAAGTCAATGAGCTGTATAGCTAACATGGGTGAATTTTATGGCATGTATATCCCCATCGAGTTGTTTTGAAAAATAGATGCCAGCCAAGTTAGTAAAAGAAAGGAAGACATTGGCCCTGCCAGTCCCTAGAAGCTTCCACATACACCTTCCCAATTACAACCCCCAACCCAGCGAGAGGGAACCGCTCTCCCGCCTTATAGTACAACCTGTGCTTTTACTTATGGGCAATGATAGAAAACTTTATTTAACAACTTCAGGCTTTATAGAAAACTGGAGGCTATAAACGTACTTATGTTTGGAGCCATACACAGGACAGACTAGTTTTGCCTTTTGGGAACTTTGTATGCGTGGATCACTGGGGTCTTTTGCAGCTAGCTTCTTTCCCTCCATATATACGCACATGAGATTCATCCAAACTGTAGCCACTGTGTGTGGCTGTGTTTTGCTCATTTTCCCCACCCCAGAGTCCATTACTCTTCACTTTTCCCATCTAACTTACCCTCCTTCCCATTCAGTAGGGGATCCAACTGCCTCCAAGTTGCACAATCCCAGGGGCGCATTTCAAGCCTCAGCTCAGAGAGCAGCCCCTCGGATAACTTCCCCGCCAACACGGCCACCTCTCTTGGCTTTGACCCCATGCTTCTGCTTCTCCTTCCCCATCCCTGGCAGCTCCTTCAGGCTCCTTTACCAGCTCCTGCTCTGTTTGCATCTTCTGAGGGAGCCCAAGTGTTCTTTCCCTGGGTTTCCTAGGTGATGTCAGTCAGTCCTGTGGCATCAAGCATCATTAGCGAGCTGAGGCCTCCAAAATTTCTATCTCCAGCAGACTGATAAGTGACACACACACACACACACACACACACTCTCTCTCTCTCTCACTTACATTTCAACCTGGATGTCTCTCAGACACTTTTTTTTTTTTGAGACAGAGTCTTGCTCTGTTGCCCAGGCTGGAGTGCAATGGTGTGATCTTGGCTCACTGCAACCTCTGCCCCTCGGGTTCAAGCGATTCTCCTGCCTCAGCCTCCTGTGTAGCTGGGATTATAGGCATCTACCACCATGCCTGGCTGATTTTTGTATTTTTAGTAGAGACGAGGTTTCGCCATGTTGGCCAGGCTGGTCTCGAACTCCTGACGTCAGGTGATCCACCTGCCTTGCCCTCCCAAAGTGCTAGGATTTATAGGCATAAGCCACTGCACCCAGCCTCTCTTAGGCATCTTAACAAAGTAGTGCTCATGGTTTTTTCCTCAAAATTCTTCCTCCAAACTTCTAGCCCCAGGTTTCTTCTTTTTAGTACTTCTGTAAACCAGCTGGGGGTGGTTTACTGGTTCACCCAGTAAACCAGCCACCCAGTTGCCCAGGATGAGCCCCTCGATGCCCCCTTTTCCCTCTCCTTTCCCTTCTCCTATCTGTACTCCCACCAGCATAGCCCAAGCCCCGTCACCCCTCCTGTCAGGCTGCAGGCAAAGGCAAATGTCACCTGTGTTACTTGCAGGCCTAGGCAGAGCAGAAGGGCTCCCTGCTGTTCCCTGGGGAGGAGCTCTGGTCCCTGCAGCCTGGCATATTTGTAGGGAAGGGTCAAGGAGTACCTTGAGCTTTACCATTGGGGTTTGGCCTTGCTGGCAGAAAGAACTTTCTTCCACATCACTTGCCTTGTGGAGGTTGGATTATCAGAGGTCTTGAAGCCCAGCACTGGAGGGGAAGCCAGGGGTTATCCAGTCACCAATTGGCTTGTCCCTCCGAAGCCTCCAGACCAGTTTCCTGCTTCCACACTTTCCCATTACACAAAGCCACACAGATAATGCCCAGCCCCTGTTCAAAACCATCTCTAAAACTGCACTCCTTCCAGTGGCCTAGAGGCCTCACATCTGTCCCCCACCCTCATTAGCCTCATCCCCACCAGCCTCCTCTGCTCCCACTAAGCTCCGGGACCCCCCGGCTGCATTCTGCTCCTCAAGGCTCATTCCAGCCTTGGCACCTTTCTCCTTGCAGTGTCCTTGGCCTGGAGCACTGTTCACCCAGCTCTTTTCACAGCTTTTCATGTCTCAGCTCAAATATACATCTACCTCGTCATAGTGACCTGCCTACCTACCCCCATTGCCCTCCACAACACACGCCTCTGCCCTGTTTGTTTCTTTTACGGCACTTAGCATCATTTGCAATATCTCTTTATTTGTCAGGAATCTCCCGCATTGAAATGTAAGCTCCATGAAGACAGGGCCTATGTCTGTCTTGCTCTGTGTGCCAGGGCTGGCACACTGCCAGGCACAGAGGAAGACATCTAGGCTGGGTACAGTGGCTCGCATCTGTAATCCTAACACTGTGGGAGGTTGAGGCAGGGGGATTGTTTGCATCCAGGAGATTGAGACCAGCCTGGGCAACATAGCGAGACCCCTGTCTCTAAAAAAATAAAATAAAAATTAGCCATTAGCCTGGCATGGCAGCACACATGCGTAGTCTGTTACTCAGGAGGCTGAGGTGGTGAGGTGGGAGGATCACTTAAGGCTGAGAGGTTGAGGCTGCAATGAGCCATAATTGCACCACTGCACTT